AAGTATTCGATCCCCCTTTACATTGGAATAAAAATAAAAAGGTAATAATCGAGGGGTTAGCAATTTTTACTATATCATTTTATGCAATATTAAATATATATATATATATTCGTACGCGTTAGTTCGCACATTCTAAGATAACCAAGAAAGGGCAGCGTATAAACAAGTTAAGCTTGGCCATAGTATTTAATCCGCAAGCTCACGACCATCAAAAGAGCTTGCCTTATGCGGCTTCACGATGCAATTTTCATTACACTGCTCTAGTACGCGGACGCGTTTATTATTCGTAAGGTTGCTGCCGCCTTGTGAAAATTTTATCAAAGGTTCTTCTACTTATATAATATAAGACGAGCTTAGGACGGTGGCGCCGGTATGTTGTATTGTCTGATATCAACTACCCCGTCTAGCTGGTTTCTCCTTTAGCGACAAGGGCACAACGACGATGAGCTTCAAGAATTCGTAGGATTTGCATACTGCCTTTACTAAGTGAGTTATATTGTCTTATTATTTTTCTCTTTCTCTTTCATTTATTTTTCTTCTACAATTATAATATATTAAGTTGTGAATTTTTAGTAAAGAAGTATTAACAAAGCAAATTTTTTTTTTTTTATAGCGATAACAATGACAGCAAAGATAAATTAATAAATGGATACAATTAATTTTATGATGTATTTTTTATTAATGATTATTTTTATTATATGTCTTTTTTTACTATCAATTAAAAAATCCATTTCCATAATTACCCCATATAATTATTTTTTAAATTGATAATAAAAGGATTTAAATATATCGATAATTTCTATTAAATAACAGAGATTATTTTATCCACAGGCTTTTGATAAATTTTTAATCATAGTTTATGAAGCGAATCCAATTCGTTTTAACGTTCAAAGAAGGTGATCAGTCAGAGGTGTGAAAGCGAGAGAACGTTACTGACTCGGAACGAGTCAAAGAGTAAATTGAAGTTGGTGGGAAGTGGCAGGACATCCACTATTAGGATACTAGGCAAGAACGAGAGAGATTCTTACTGGGTTTGCTGCTTCTGACTAGTAACTGACTGCTATTTGCATTGTTAATTAATAGCCATTATTCTCTCTCAGAGAAATTTCGTTCGATAGTCATAGCAATCGAAGAGATATAACGATTTTCATTGAAACTAGTTTGTCATTTAATCCAATCGTCTATCAAACACCACAGTAATACATAGTTGATTAAAATATTATACATTATTTTTACTGGGAATGTAAATAGCCGAGCTTTTCAAATTTATTGTGAAAAATGAAAATTGCATTTGAAACTTTTTCTATGCATGATACTTACACGTACGATAACTGAGAAACTGTAATACGTTCTTTTTATTTTTAACTTGTTAAAAATAAAAAGATGTAAATAAGTAATCTAGCTTATTTGTATTTGTTTTTTAAATTGCATTCATCTATGTTACATTATTTAGCTTACATAAGTAGAAGATAAAACTGATCTGGTATACGCGTACTGTACATATATGTATATATGTGTTTACATATAGAAAGATAATAGCAGATGCGAGGTTAACATTTCTCCCATATCACATATCACGTACGCATTTAGTGTACTGTTCCTCTTTCTCCTTTTGCTTATTTTTCTTTGTATTAGAATCACTCCAATTACATTAATTAATCCGACAACCCATACGTGCAATGCAGATCAGAACAATAGAGGGTACCCGCTTTTTCGTCATCGTTAAAACGAACGGCTGGGAACATCAAGTATGCTGCAATAGTTTACACGAATGCGATCCTTCAAACAATGCTTTTACCAAGATCGTGTTTTTTCGAATGATAAGAGCAATGTTCGAGTTCGTAATTAAACGATCATTATATTGATTTTCTTTTCATATTATAAGATTAGATTACTCGGTGTATGTAAGGAAAAAGTTTACTTACAACGTTCCGTAAAATTATATCCAATTTTATTCAATATATTATTTGAAATGTTTTAATTACAATAAAAATTTTTTCATTGTTATATTATGGTTATTTTATAACAATGCAATTTTAAAAATCCCAATTATTTATGTATAATATTCAAGCGTGTCCATGCGTTCTTGTGGTTATTGATGCATATTTAAACTTATGTGGATATCTATTGTATTTTTTCGTTTAAGTAAAATGTTGGTAAAAGTGTGTGAATATGAAATATAAAATGAGATATGAAAGGAGATTTGAGAGAATGCAGGTCCTGTTAATAGTTTTTATTTCAACCGAGTTCAAAGACATTTCTACACGAATGAATAAAGTGAAAGTATTTATCTTTAAGCGTGAAGAAAAAGATCCTACCTCTGAAATAATCTTTTTACTATTTTATATAACAGAGATAGTGTTGGAAGATTAGTTGGAAAGGAATTTTATGACACCAACGAAGTGTAAATAATACTTTAACCGTAGTTCTTTCTTGCGATTAAAGACAAGTAGAAAAGCTATTAATGATATTTCTGGGAGGTTCGTTTTATTTCTAACAAAAACAATTTATTTTAAACGAACATTATGAACGTATTAATTAACAAAATTAACAATCAACAATATATAAATATAAAATATCATTTGAATTCCGTTACAAAATTGTACAGGGTTAGGACAATTATGTTGAAAACGTTGAGGAGAACAGCAGATCGAGTGAAAGAACAGCTGGTGGTATCTCCTAATTAGATGACTTTCCTAATGGCCGTGTTTGTATTTCCAATCTTTGTGATCTTCGTGACCACCCTTTTTACCATAATGAGAATCGTGATGGTAGTGTTCATCGTGTCCACCACTATCTTTATGACCTTTGTGATCGTGATGGTGGCTACCCTTCTCGTGATGGCCCTTTTTACCATAATGATCTTCATGATCACCATGATCGTGATGTCCTTTCTTAAAGTGACCACCTTTTTTGTGACCATGCTCGTGATGATGACCTCCATGATCTTCATGATGACCGGAATCGTGATGCTCGTCGTGAAATTCTTTATCCTTTTTAAATTCATCGTGCTTCTTTACTTCGTGATGACCCTTGGTGCTGTGTCCCTTACCGTAGTGTCCTTTCTCGTGAAAGCTGTGTCCCTTTTCACCTTTCTCCCCTTTATCATGTTCTCCATAATAACCATCATCATGATGATGATGTTTTTTATGTCCTTCGTCTTCGTGAAAGTGTCCAGAGTGTCCCTCTTTGTCGTGATGACCTTTTTCTCCCTTATCGTGATGATGATAACCTTTGTATCCCTTATCTCCTTTTTCACCATGTTTATGATAATGATCGGAATGATGCTCTTCTCCGCCACCTTTTTCAAAATGATGTTTGCTAGCAGCTGTCTCTAAATCTTTTAGGTCACTAATTTCTCTAGCCAGGGCCAATGTGAGAAAAAAGGCCACTGTTATCAGAACACCCCGCAAGCCGATCATGTTGCTTGTTTAGCAGTATGGTTGATATTTGGTAAGGTAACCCACTGCCAGTTCAAATGCACCCAGCTGATGCAAGTGACGGGATGGGATCTCGATACCAGGCCGATTAATTTATACGTTTCGTACCCGGTCCAGAACTATGTATTGGCAGATGGAGGTGGGTAAACCACAACAGCAGTGGTGGTGTTTTCAGCTAGGTTCCTGTGGTGGGAGCGAATAGTTTCGGTTTCTCTCTTCGTTGCGCTATATAGAGATCGTCCTTTCTTCTTTCTGATGCATTTTTAAGTTGCTTTCTGCTCTCATGATCAGGGAAACAAAGTCATTTCACCGAGTTTTTTTGAAGAAATTTTATACGTAACCGGTTGATTAACTTTTTCAAATAATTAATGATCAATGTTCTATAACATTTTGAATTAAATTAATATTTAATAATCAACTTTATCTCGTAATAATTATTAATATCGATCGTTAAATAAGAGAAATTAGTTTAAATAATATTTTTACTTTCAATATTATTATTATTATTATTATTATTATTATTATTATTCACCATAATCGATATTTAAGTGAACGAAATTTATAGTTAGTAAAATAATTACAATCTTTTGGTCAATTATTTCAATTTCTGTTTTAATATTTAAGTGATATTATGGAAATAGATCAAATAAATTTATATTGATTCTTCAAAATTACTACGTTAAACCATTTCACATACCGTTATCGTAACATAATTTGTTGTGCGTGCTTTGGCATAATTAGTTTTTGGTATTAGTTGATTTATTATCATACGTGCTGGAGAATATTAAACTGGATTCGCTATTCGATATGCGTATCGTGACACTGTACTAATGACGATTATCCTTATTACTCTCATTAAATATAAATATTTTATATTGTCATAATTATAATGATTATAGAGGATTATTTATCCAAAATATAGAGTAATATTGTAATAACTCAGCCTACGGTGTAATTAAGACAGGTCAATACAAAAAATTTGATTATATACCAATTATAATTATTTAATACATTTGTCATTGTTATTAAAATATTACATTAACATATTATTCTTCAATTTTGAAAATAAAGTTAATCGAATTATTAACAACTATGCATTAAAGAAAATAGGAGTTTAACGATTGATGTAGCATTTAATATAAACTACCAGAGAACGTTCGCAACAATATTAAAAATGAAAAAGAAAGCAGAAAAATATTTTAAGTGAATCTCCATGTAATTATTAACGTTCATATATTCATATATAGTTTTTTAAAAATAATTAGTAGTTCTTTAATAGATTCATAATAATAATCACAGTAATTTTATTTATTATCAAGATTTATTCTGAAATAGAGGATCGTGGGTGTATATATAATATAAAATTAGATTGGAAATTTATCAAGAAAAATATATGCGATATATGATTTGTATAATTGTTTTATATTTTAATTATTAAAATTAACAATTCAGATATTGATTAGGAATCAAAGAAGTTTACAAATAATCAACGAGAGAAACAATGTTTTAACGATGCAACAGCGTTCAAAATACAATAGAATGAACTTGTTGCAATGATAATTAGTGGTGATAACCGCCGTGACCACCACCGCCATGACCACCGCCGCCGCCGCCACCGCCGCCCCCACCGCCACTTGAGAATCCGTGAGACTTTCCTCCATGATGGTCGCCCTTCTTCCCATAATCTTCGTGATGATGATAATGTTCTTCGTGACCATGCTTTCCATGATGACCCTTATGATCTTCATCAAAGTGTCCTTTGTCGTGGTGTCCCTTCTTTCCATGATGATCCTCGTGATGACCGGAGTGGTGACTTCCACCTTTCTTATGATGCCCTTCTTTGCTTCCGTGATGTCCATGGTGGGATCCATGTTTCTCATGATGTCCGCCTTTGTGATAATCATCATAGAACTTATGTTCCTTGTGGAATTCATCTTTATGGGCTTTATGATGATACCCATGGGTTTTCTCTCCTTTCTTGTGACCCTTTGAATGACCGAATTTGGCACCCTTGTGTCCATGCTCGTGCTCGTGATGACTACCATGATGCTCGTCTTCTTCGTGGTGTCCCTTCTTATGTCCACCATGTTCACCATGATGTCCTTCGTGATGTTCCTTACCATAATGACCATGTTCACCTTTATCGTGATGATGTGAACCCTTGTAACCCTTATCTCCTTTCTCTCCGTGTTCCTCGTGATGATGTCCATGATGCTCATGGCCACCACCAGACTCGTGTTTATGACCGTGATGGCTAGCAGCTACTTCTAGATCTCGTTCGTTTCTCACCTTTTTTGCCGATGAGAAATCGACGATCGCATAGAGGAGAAAGAAAGTCAGACATATCCGAAACACGTAGTAAGTCATTGTTGGTACTTTGACGGACCAACGAGTACGAACGACTGACCAAGCTTATCCACACCTAAGCTTATATACTTGTTGCTCCGCTACTGAATTCGTACGTAATCACTTTCGTTCTTTCTCATCGACTTGTTCACAAACCGAGGTTCGAGTTTCGTAAATCTTTTCTACCATCTAGCGCCACCAACATCTGGCGAACGTGCTTTCTTAGGTTAAGGCTTTTCGAGAAAAGCTTTCCGCAAAATAATTCTTTATTTCGTTCGGTTAAAACCAAGCTCGAGATATAAGTATTGTACAGGAGACTATTGGACTTACTAAAGGAATAAGATATGAGCTTCTCTAACTTATAACTTACATTTTTAATAATATTGTTGCATTGCCCTTTATCATATATAAGTACGCCAAAGGTTTGTACTTTGTGGTCTGATGGCAAGTATTCTTTAAAAATAGAATGGACATACAATGTATTTTCTAAACAAAGCATAATCTTTCAATCTGAATTATAGTTTGTGAATGATAAAAGTATTCAAAAAATTCAATATCGCTTTTTTTCTGAATTGTCTAATAATCTTACGAATATTATATATGTATCCATAAGATAAGTTATAATTAAATTGTTTTTACTTATAATACCTCGATCGTGTAATAGTTTTTCGATAAACTTTCTATTTTGTTTTATCTCTAAGAATTTCACGGCGTTATTACCGTAAATAATCTTATTTTTGCTAATAATTAAAATAATAATTATCGCACATAAATGAATAATTTTATTATTAAATAGAAATGTTTCTATTAGAATAGTATTAATCAGATAAATATTTAATTTCAAAAAATTAATGCAATTTGATATCTCAAGAAAATGTGTTAAGTCACGTTGGAATAGTAAGAAAATAGTGGTAGGAAAGTTTTAGACAGATCGAGAAGAGAAAATCTCGGATTAAAAGATATTTGTGCAAGCGTGGCGACGATTTCGATCGAGATTACATAACGTTCACGATAGACGGATTGCTTGAAATCGATATTACGATTTGAAGCAGGGTAAAGAGACGTAACTTTCGCAACGAACTAATCGACGAAGAAAAGGAGCTATTTCTTCCCTAACATCGACGATTATTCTCCGTCTTGTATATAATACGAGAGTAACGCTTAACTTTATCACATCGAGCGCAGCGCCGAAGCAAAACGGGTCGTCACGGTGGGTGCTGTTGGCAAATATAGCGAATATTCAGTCAATACGATGAGGTGTTTCGCTTTGGTGATTTGTCTGATAACGATTTCGATCGCTCACTCAATTTTGGTTGAAAGCCAAAGAGTCAGGAGAGATGTGTTTGACTTGGAAATAGCTGCGTCTCATCATCATCATCATGAAGAGAAGGGTGGTGGTGAAGAGCATTTTGCCGATCATTACAGCAAGCACGGCGAAAAGGGAGACAAGGGCTATAAAGGCGGACATCATCACGAAAAGGGTGAAAAGGGACACCACGATAAAGGGGGACACTCGGGACACTATCACGAGGATGAAGGACACAAGAAGCATCATCACCATGATGATGGTTACTATGCTGAGCATCATAAAGGTGAAAAGGGAGAGAAGGGCCATAAATTTCATGAGAAGGGCCACTATGGCAAGGGTCATAGCACCAAGGGGCATCACGAAGTTCATAAACTAGATGAATTTAAAAAGGACAAAAAGTTCTTTGACGAACACCACGATTCCGGTCATCACGAGGATCATGGTGGTCACCATCACGAGCACGGTCATAAAAAGGGTGGCCATTTCAAGAAGGGTCATCACGATCACGGTCATCATGAGGATAAATATGGCAAAAAGGGTCACTTCGAGAAGGGACATCATCATCATGATGAAAAGGGTCACAAAGGTGAAGGTGGACACGACGAGCATTACGAACATCATTCCAAGCATGGTAAAAAAGGTGAACATGAGGATCACAAGAAATGGGGATTTAAAGATGGACATTGAATCTAAACAATTACTATTATTGTTCTTTGTTGCATTACATTTGTTTCTAGCTGTACTTATTATTTGTAATTACGCATTGCCAAAATAAATGTTTTCTTACGTAAAACATCACAAAACCGTATTCACGAGCAATTATCGATACACAGAGGGTAGACATTTAAACAAAGATTTTTCATGAAAATTTATCGATATTTCTTTCAAAATATTATTTCGTTATATCAATCACACGCGTTCTGTTTTGTAGCTGCAGGCATGAAAAAAGGAGGTTACTTATCAAACTTTCATTTTGAAATAAAAATAATTGTATATAGAGTCAATTATTTTTGTGTATGAGAATTAAGTAATACTGTCACGCAAATTTAAACGATTTTGATGCAATCATATACTAATCTATTAATATTTATCGTTACTTTCACCCTGCCTATTAGATTCAGTTTTTTTATATCTATGTGGAAAAAAAGTAAGCAGTAATTATTTATTACGAAAAGATAATAAAACTATTTGAAATTTCAATGAGAATAATAAAATACTGAAATTCTTAATAATGATTAGGATTATTCTACAAATTGGTGGTAAATTATATAACAAAGTAATCGATAAATAAAATCATGTATAAAAAAACTAATAGATTGGTAGAAATTAAATTAATATCAGTTGTCTAAGTGCGACGAATCATCGTTAACTTTTTCCTTACTTTGTTTTTTTAAAAATGCAGCATTCTCGACGTAATGCTCTTTTCCTTTAGCTTCCCTGTCGTGTCCTTGAGCACTACCATATTGATGTCCATTGAGAAATATTTCCTTCTGTGCGTGTTCGTTCTCGTGGTATCCTGCATCCAACTTTTGGATGTTTTCTTGTCCACCTTCCGTTTCTTCGTGTTCACTGTTCTCCGAGCCATAACTCTCTTCGTGTTCGTCGACGTGCTCGTTGTTGTAAAAGGACGTATCCTTTTTGTATTCGTCTTTGTGGTAAATGTTATGAAACCCCGAAGTTTTGTGACCCTTTTTATGAATTCCGTTTTTTCCATGACTTTCGTTCAACAGTTCCTTTGCAGCAGATTCATTTTTGCCGTATTTCACATTTTCCTCTTTCTTATCCTTTTTTGATTCAGTAAGGTCTTCTTGATATTGAGAAAGATAAGATTTTCCGATTGCTTCTTTTTCATCTTTATCGAAATCTTCGGTTACTTCGTATCTATTGACGAGCTTCTCGCCGTTCTCAGTTTCTTTTTCATCCTGATAATTCGAAAAGTCGTTGATAGCGAAATTATATTTGTCATTGACTATTCCGCTCGTTATATCTCTTAAATTTAAATCTGGTATAATGAAGTTATTGGCCCGACGATTATTCTCGAACTTATCACTATATGGAACATTTTGTATTCCAATCGATTTCCTTAAATTATCAGTTCCTAAATTAGAATGTAGTCTGATATTCGTACCATCAAGATTCAGTTTACTCCTCGAAACCTTATAATTTTCTGCTTGTCTTGGTAAACCATAATATCGTGAGCGAGCAAGGCTTCCTTTAATGCGAAATCCATCGCTTCCATCGTAATCGAATCCTTCGATGTTACCAAGGCTACTATCCTGTCCACCTAAACGTTGTAAATTCGATTCCGCACCGAGAGTACCTGACGCAAATATACGTATAGCAATTATTACGATTAAAATGATACCTTACAATTTCATTATATTGTTAAATCACTCCAACGATTACAGGAGATATTTATAAAAAAAAATAACATTTTAACTAATACCTTTGCCGATATTTCTTATTTTATACGCGGTTGGATATTTAAACCTGTTAATTGAGTTAGCCACATTTAAATCAGAATTTCTAAATTTATCGTTTTCATTAAAAAGCTCAAAGTCATTTATTCCGTGGTTTCCAATTGTATCATATAGTTTAAATTCATTTCCCCTTTTATTAAACACGTATTCGCTTTTTGAAGTTTCCGAATCTTTTAATATTGATTTTTCCGAAATATCCTTAATTCCTTCGGGTTTCTTAATCTCAATTCCTTCGGATACTAACAAACACATTACACTCACGGTATAATAAATATTAAGCTTCATAACTCCGTCAATAAATTTTATTTTATTTGCTTTTGATAATTAAGCTCTAGGAGACTGAATTACCTGTATCTGTTTAATTGTAAGTATATTTGATCTGCTGACTCTTTTATAGGATATATCATGTCCAATATATATAATTAATTCCAAATACGATACGTAAAATTAGATAGATTATTTTATCACACCATATTTCCTTTTTGATTTCGAAAATAAATTGCATATCCGTTATTTCAATGGTAGAGTTCGATTTATTGACCGTAAACGTGACATTATTTCATAAAAGTAGCTTCCGATCGACACACGATTCATTGTTTTTAATCCGTAGAATGAACTATTTCTAATTTAGAAAGTAGAATACAACGGGAATGTATAACAGACGGTATTACATCACTGCCTTACTTGACAGTTACTCACCTCGGTGTTACGCTAATTGATTGATGAATACTTTGAAATACGACGAATTTCGCGTGTTATGTGTATCGACAAAGCACTGCAAAAATGTTAGCTATGATTGACAATGTTCAGTGACGATCTATTTATTAGTCATGTACGTTGTACATCAAAAAACATTTTATTACTTTTTCTTGAGTATGTAAATCATATAGATGGATAGCCTTTTGCGATGTTACTTAGTATTAAACAATATGAGAAATTTATGAAATCAAATGTTGCATAAAATTAATTCTTATATTATTCCAAATGCAAGTTATACAACATAGTAACAACAGAGTAAATATATAAATATTTACATATCAATGATCATCGTGAGTTTTCGAATATCCATGTTTCTTTTCGGCTCGTTCTCCACCTTCTCTCGAATAATCAGAGTAATCTTTGTGATAAGAATCTTCGTCTTTTTCGGAATGATGTTCTTGATTGCGACTAACATCGTGGCCTTTCTTGAAATCATCTTTCTTCGTCTTATCCCATTGATCGAGACCGGAATCATGATGAGATTCCTTTTTATAATCGCCCTCCTTTGCATTATTATGCTGATCGAAAGAAAAGTGTTTACTGAACTGTCCGTCTTTGTGGTTTTCATCATAAAAGTCGGTGTTCTTTTTATATTCGTCTTTATGATAGACTTTATGGAAACCATTAGTCTTTCCTCCTTTTTTATAATACGAGCTATTTTCACGTTTAGCACCCTCCTCATTCTTTTTCAAGTCATCGTGTTGACCGTAGGCACCGGATGTATCAATGTGTTCTTTTTTCTGCCCACCCTTAAGATTGTAGTGACCTAAAAACATAAAGTATTTGGAAGTGTACCAAATATTACAAAATACAAATTTCTTCTATATTCTATTTCTGTCTAACGATATGATTCAATTTTTTAAAGAGCAATTATACAAACCAGCTTTCTCAGCTGAATCATACGTCTTTTCTTGTTCTTCGTTAAATTGGTCATAGCTATTGCGAGCACTATCACCTTTTTTCCCGTTAGAGGAATGCTCTTCGATTTGAAAAGAAGATCCGGCATCTCCAAGATGACCATGATCCTTACTATATAATTTTGGAGAATGTCCCAAATGATCATGCTTAAATCCTTTGGAATGATACGTTTTGTGAGCATCGTCATATCCACTATCATCTTCATCGTCGTCTTCATAGTCGTCATTCTCATCATTGTCTTCGTGTTCATCGTTGTATTCCTTGTCTTCATCGTCGGTTTCCTTAACGTCCTCGTTACTCTTCTCGTTGGCATCACCCTGATTGCTATCCTTTCCTTTTACTACCTTCTCATTACTTAAATGCACGTAATAAGGTGATAAGGGTTTCTGTGGGACAACGTAGACACCTTGAGCTTCCACGTGATCGTTACCCGTCTTTACGTAAGACAATCGCTGTTGCATGTAGGGATTCGGCTTCTGTCCTACGTTCGTATAAGAGATTACAGGCCTTTCATAGAGGGCTGCTGTTTGAGGAACCGACAGAGCAACAGGTGCAACAGCACCCTTACCACTACCATCGACGACATAATGTATTGGCAATGGCGTATCATAGTAACGTCCGTTCCCATAATTGGTGTAATGAACGTAGGTTACGGGATAGTTTTGTCCTTGTTCGTACGTGTAACCCGTAGCAGATGATTCCAGGTCGGTTATATTCGTTTTTGAGATCGTCATCCTATCCATTTTCGTTGGTGCTCCATCGTTAAGCTTGATCAGGATAAATGCAAGTATCGTTGCTATCGCGATCATGATAAACACAGGGCAAACTTGAGAATTGTTAGGTGTAACCAAAGGTGGCCTAACTTACTCTGGCACCCATGTTAGTAACCGGTCTAGCTTTTATATACCTATGCGTAACTAAGGTCCTTCGATCGTCGAATCAAAAGTAGTCGTTCTCGTAAGTACTTTCTATGTACCTAAGTATCCCACGGTCAGTGATATAAATTCAAGAACAAAGTGTTATTGACACTGCAATTATCCTACCGTGACCATTCCTGTGAATCGTTCAAATTTGCGTAATTTCATTTAGACAAGCAACTGAAATTTCGGTTGGATCAGTATATATATATATCTGTTATGCCGAGAAAAGATATTATTGTGTTACTCTTTTAGTCACGCTGGATTCAACGTGGTGGGATAATAATATCTTATGTATGCGCAACATTCGTTCACGCTTTTGCGTCGATCGATAGTTATTTTCAACGGATGAACGATTTTATGATATGTCTTAATCTCATATTCAACGATATTTCTTCATAATTTTTGTTATTCAACATTTGAATACTATTGATGGTTTACTAATAATACATATAGATTTAAGATGAGTTTAAAAGGGGATCTTTCACAGCGATTAGAAAAAAAAATAAAATAATAAAAATAACTTAAAAGTAATTTTAGAAAACTTATATTCGATTCATTAAAATAGTATAACTTTAAAGTATATCAAAATGTGTTGATGTGTTGTTTGAAAACTACGTGATAATATCTTCTTCATGTGATATTCAATGTGTCAAGGCTGGATTATAGTAAAAGCTCAAACGGATACAATGAGAAGCCCGCCGTGTAGGCTTGGGAGTTTTTTATTTTCAAGAGTTGGGCTGACATTTGAGAGTAGTCGAACGAAACTGTTCGACTTTCAACGGATCGAGTAAAGTAGGACGACCTTGAATAGAATGTATAGGCGACGGAGAGACATCTCGGTGGGTCGCGCAAAATCGGAGAGAACAAAGTTCGTCCATAGCATCACTAGTCCCGAGAAGTACCGTCCTTCCAGATGTACTAGAACAGTTCTGGACGAGAGCCAATCGTGCGCGGGCGTTTCACCGATCGGTCAGGAGATATAAAAGAGCTCGCCACATGGCACACTGATTACAGTTTATTTCAACGCGAGAACAGAAACGCCGCGAGTAGACGCAACGAGATTTAAGAGAAAGAAGAAAGAAAACAACAGAGAAAAAAAAAGAGAGAGAGAGAGAGAGAGAGAGAGAAATACTTAGTCACGTCGACGTTGCGTTTTCCCTAACCACAAACGCTCGAGAAAGAGAAAGAAAAAGAAATATAGAACCTTCTGTTTTATCTCAGACACGATAAACTAGACACGCTAGGTGTAGACATAGAGAAAGGAGAATGAAAAACGTCTGGGGGTTGCGGTGGTACGTTCTCTGCGTCGCCGTTGTTCGCGTTTCAACATATCCGGTGAACAAAAGTGACCACACAACACGATCCGATCTCGAAGCTTTTTCTACCGATTATATCTTCGAAGATTTGTCGCCAACTAAATTTATTGGCGTCGACAGCGGTTTGGAAGATTTCGATTTCCAGCCGGGGGATAAAAAAAATACAAGGGTAGAGAATGTTCTTTCACCTTTAACTTTGGAACCAGACGCTGAAATGTTACCACCTAATTTTAAAGGTGTTGTACCACCGGGCGTGGATCATATGGAACTTCATTTTCGAGAACCACAAGTTATGGCTACTAATTCGAGGAGTGTTTTTGATAACGGTGTTAGATATGTGCTTTTCAATCAAGCGTCTCAAGGATTAAAAAATGATAAAGGTCGTGAGAAGGCGGTTGAATATGAAAATAGATTAAAGGGCGTGAAGGGAAAAGAGAAACAGAAAAAGGATTATACTGAAGCCGGTGGTAGGAAGAAAGTACATACCGTGATCAAGAACAATTTCAATGATCAAAAGGATCAGGTGTTTAACGAGAAAAATGGAAGTTATGGGATTAAAGATAATCGTAATAAGGATTATAAAGCTGAAGGCTTTCATAGCGTATATCACAAGGACGAACACAACAAAAATTCGGATTTTTACGACAATGATCATCAAGGTGGGCATTTCAAGAAACACGGAAGATACGGCGAAAAACATAGTTCTCTTGAGCACATCTACAAGAAGGGATCCAGTCACGATTCAGCCTTCGATTTGGCCGAAGCCAAGAAAAAGGGTGGATCGAAGTCTCTGGTCAAGGAAGAAGTCCAAGGTCATCCTGTTGTGCTACTGACTACTGGCTAAGTCTACTGGCTTCTTTCATAACCCTCGACGAATTAAAAAAGCTGGACTTGTTAAGGGTTGAAAATACCGTTCGATGTATTTTAATAAGGTGTATTTAATTGTTTGTCGTTGTGCGTACGATTAAAGAATAGACCGTAGATTTACGTGTTACTGTTTATCGAAGAAATTCATAATTATTTACGGTACCGGTGTTAGATAATATTTCCATGTTGATTAATGAAATGATAAATCTTAAAAAATGTCTTCTAATAATTCTTCTTGTTTGATAAGAAAAGTTTCGACGAATGTAATTCATAGTATGTACGTAGGTAGGTAAACGATTAGAATGTTTTAAAAGATACATATTGTACGTACAAAGATTAGAAAGATATTGTAACCATGTTTCTCCCTTCTGACAAATTTACTTTGACGTATCGATTTCTAAGGAATTACGTTGCCGGGGTGTAAAATAAAATCAAGAGCAGAGCAGAGTCGTATCGATAATCGATACATTCCCAAGGGGACAATACCTCGATCGGATTGCAGGTTCATCTTGACGCATTGTCCTGTTCCTTGATAACGACCATGGAGCAACCCCCGACTACGTTTCCCACGGTGAACAACGTGATTTGCCGACGATGGTTACGTTGATTAATGGATATTAATAATGTTCGCCATTGTTGCCGCAATAAATCGTGATTTTTCGTCGCGGTTAGCTGAGACACGAATAAAAGGTGATAATTGATGCGTCGCTCGCTTGGACGAGAAAGGAGGCCGTTGGAAATGGAGGAGAAAGAGGAGGATGAGTAGGAGGCAGCTTTTGAAGCAGGTAACACGCGCGAGCGCGCATATGGGTATACGCGCATCCCCCCTGTATTCTGACTCGGATGAGGATAACTGAGGTACCATTCCCTTCGTGGCTCAGTGAGCTCGGGTTCCGTGCATTCATCAACAATAAGCCGCAGCAACCCCAAACACACTCCTCCCTTTCCTCCTTTTCCCAATCTACGTGTATGCATGCACGCTCATGAGTACGTCCACGTGTTTATGTATATGCGTGTGTGTTTGTTTGTGTGCATAGATGAGCGTACGTCGTAGGTTGTGGAACGCGTTTGGAATACATAAATCAGGTGCACCAGTCTGCAGGCTGCTGCCAGCCATATCACTTGGCACAACGGCTATGAATGAATAGAGCCGTACCTGAATTATCGTCCGCCTTTGCAGATACTGAGAGGAGGACGCTCGCGCACGTTCCACGACAACAACGGGTAAACAAGTGTGAATTTAAAACCTTAAACTTTATCGTTTAATAAAAGTATGATAAAGACGAGCCTGTTAATATTCTTTTATCTCCATGGTTAAATATTTAAGTGTCAAATTTGTTACATTAAAATGATATTCTTCAATATATGTTATCTAATGATTTATTATTTATTTTTGCTTGTAATCAATCGCGGTGTCAATATTTCGTTTAATATTTAATATTTAATCGAAGTATTTATTGTGGTATTATGTATATTTAACCATATAAGAGTACGATGATACAACATGAAAGAAATTACCGCAAAACGTCTGTATCAGTTGTTGAACAAAAAAGAAGCAAACAAGAAACATGTTGGAATCTTTTCGATCACGTCGTTTCCAACGAATCTATCGATTTCCGAAAGAAACGCAATTTATCTTACGTTAATCTTTCTCCGAGTAAGCCAGCGTAAAGAAGAAGGTGGAGGAGAAAGAGGAGGTGAGCATTCCGTGTGTCGTTTTTCGCTATCTTTCTCTTTTTATTCGTTTTATCCGAGAATAACATGGTCGAGAAGTGTTCGTGCGATTTCACGTGAACGAGCAATGTTGAGGGCTCGATCACTTTGATGCGAGACTTTATTGTCTCACGGACACCCGCATGAGGAACAATCCATCCTGGAAAGAATTTAGAAAGAGATAACAAGAATTATAAACTTTTGCGATATCATATGGCACATATTATTAATTTTAAAATATCGTCAATTTTTTAAACAATATTATTACAATCAAATTTATATGTAAGTTAGTTGAAAAGTTTCGAGCCTAGCATATTATTTTTTGTGTCAAAAACTCACTTTTATTTAAAAAAAAATACAATTTCTTTTTTTTCTGTCGAGGCTCAGAACTTTTCAACCCACCCTCATATGTTAATGTCGGATAATTTTAAATAAACTGTTATATAGCTATATCAATTAAAAAAATTGAATTTGAAGGAATGGCAGTATTCATCAAATTTCAAAGCACACAAGATTAGTTCGTGAAAAGTTTAACCCGCGTGATTGTGGCTACAGATCGACAAAGTATCGCTATAGTTGACAGATATTAAACCACGTTCACACATATGGTTCGGTTATTTGTTTGATACATATATAACGTCTATCGGTATTTTACTCGGTGCACACGAGCAAGCTTCTATTTTTTTGTTTATGCATTATTTTTTACGAAGCGAAGGATTTTCACAGAAGATCGACGATGAAATATAGAGAAATATGGTATCGTTACTTTCAAGATTAATCACCAACGCTACAACTTTCCAATGCGCCAAACTTTTTCGGAGTATTGAAAAACTTCGATATTCTCAATCTCGTTTTAATGCTTCAAAAGTGGGTAAAGAATTCATTTGTTCTGCGAGTAATATTTAAAAGAATAAAGATAACGTAACTTGATTAAACGATTCTTTGAATTTATTTCGTTTCTATTTTTAATCCTCAACAAAAAAAATAATCATTTTTATTTACAGAAATCTACAGATTATATTACTCGTTTGGCAATGCCGATTGATTATGAAAACGTACTAAGTCTTATGTGTGGGACTTATTTTAGACATGAAGCAACTATGATAAATATCGGGATTAGCGAGGATCCACCATTAACTTCTATGATAAACCTCACGTTGGAACTAATGAAACACGGTATGACGATAATTGCAGAGAATTCAGATCATTATATAATCGGTGCTGCCATAAACATTTGCTCGTGCCCATGGGATCCAAAGAAAATGATGGAATATGCTAGAAGGAGCGAGGAAAAGGGACCAATACGGGATCTGATAGAGTTCTTCGCTTACGTGTCTAGTAAGCCAGATGTCTGGAATCGTTATTGCGTTCACAAGGTGTTTGAGTGCAGCAATGTGGCGGTCGATCCAGAATATCGTGGAATGGGTATAGCCAAGAAGCTCATGGAAGAGAGTTGGTATCTCGCACGAGACTGTAGTTATCGGTTGTTCCGTATAGACTGTAGCAGCAGGTGAGCCCAACCTCTGTAATATCGATCATTTCAAAAGTATCGAACGATGGTTATTTCTTTTCGACTTTTTTCCTTCAACTAAAATACCATATGTTATTTCCAAAGTAGAAATTTCAAATTCAAGTTATTTTTATTATTTCAACGTTTGCTCCTTTATATAATTACTCTTTATAAAAGAAAAATATTATTTTTCAAATTTGAAAAATATTTTCTTTGTAATTTGTATGTACGTTCTTTTATGTAGACACACAGCTAGAATCGCACAAGGTTTCGGATGGAATAAAATCTGCACGATACCTTATTGTCGATACGTCAAGAACGGCGAAATGGTATTCCAACATATACAAGAACCTCATACGGAGATCGAGGTTTATGTCGATCGTGTCAATTTTCTTGAAGCATACCATTTGCCATATAAAAGCTATAAGTCAAAGTAATAGCAAAGGATAGAGAATGAAAAGAGATAATTTGTATTGGAGAATAATAATCCAGTTATCTTTAATAATCATTAATAATTATTTTATCATATATAATATTTCGAAAGATTTCAAAACATATTATTAATATGGATTATTGTCTATCGAATTGAAAATATGCTTTATTCATTTCGTACAATTCCTAGATCTAGAGTCAATGTTATTTATCGATATTAATACCCGTTTGCATAATACAACATGTATTTATTTTCAATTACACTTGTTCTATTTGAAAAAATGATTATTATTATTCATTATTTATGAAAAGCATAAAAATTTATTGTAAAAAACGAATAACTTAACATTCTTACAACGTACCGTAAGATTATAATTTGACTAGAGATAACATCATAAAATATATGAAATAGGTGTTTAGAATGAATGAAACGCGTAAGTTTAAAAAGTTGTACTTTTCGTCGGTATCCAGCACGGTGAATAAATTCAGAAGGATATTTCGGCCCTCTCTTGGCTCGAAGATAAAGTGGAATTGTTGGTGCCGTGAGCAAAATACATCGGCGTAATGCGAAGTGCCCGCAATAGTGGGGCTCTACGGGCGTGTTTACGAGAGGGTTGTTCGAATGGGGAAGGGGGTTGCTCGCATGCATCATCGGTGCAACTAGAGATAAATTCTGTACGCGCTGTGCTCCAGTGTGTACGTCGTCTTTACTTTGGTCTTAACTAAAATCCATTAAAGCCAACGATTTATTACGATACCCTTACCCTTCGTACGACGTGTGTACGCGGACTCGTTCAGGAGGCAGTCTAACACTTCCTGGCCACCTTCAGGTGCAGTTTAAACGCAAATTAATGACGTTGGTGGTATATCCAGTGAGTATACCTGTCTACGTATTTATATACTTACATACCAGTACTTTTCATATTTTATTTCGTCAACTTCGTTTTAAGTTTATGGAAGAAAGAGAAAGAGAGTATTCGTGCAAACCGTGCAACGAACAAACATTGTGTTTCTGACGTATTTATATGAAAAAGGAAAAAGAATTTTATTTAAGAAATATAAAATAAAACTTGAACGCGTTTTTGATAAATACGTTAAAACGGTGCTACACGCTTTTTAAACTATGGTATACAACATTTGCAATACGTATGAAAACTTTTATTACGATACTTTAAAATTAACTTTAGACAAAATCTTATATTATTTTAGATGCCTGCATAGATCGGTACTCGATGTTGCATAAAAATCAACAAGTAGGTTTCTGTCGATGACTCTGTTCGTTATTAAAATAAGTCCTTCAGAAGATAGAGAATTTCGATCCATCTTCTTTAAACGACAGCACTGACCTATTTTCTAAATGCTGCCGTGGCCGAGAACAGTTCTGAGAATTTATATAGGCCAGAGATGTCCCTATACGGGAGACTTAACGTCGTCACGGTAAAACATCTTTTTTGTGCTTTATTCGAGCTACCAACGGGCGTCTTTTCGAACTCAAAATTCATGTATGTAAGAGTCAGCGGTATTCAGATAGGATAAAGAATAACCTGCGGTATGGAATTCATTAACACCACGTTACAGTGAGTCTTTTATCGTTCAACAGATTTCTAAGAAATCATCTAGGTCAATATGACAGTCTGTCGACATCTCATTCCAAATGTTGAAGAGCATATTTTTTACGAGACCGAATAAAAGCATCGGATAGAATTGAAATGACATTTTTAATCAACGTACGATGATCATTTAAAAGAATACAGAATATAGAACGATCAATTATTTTTGGATACGAAAACAATTGCAATTGTTTTAAATTTCTCTTTTTCTTTATCAAACAGACCACACCCTAACAATTTTTCTCTCTTATCTTGATGCAATTCAAAAAGTATCTTCTGCCGATCTTGAAACTGTAATGATTAATGGAGTTAGAAGAGCTACGCGCGGTTCCGTAATACCGTGGCAACTATCGAGTCGGAATTACAGTTGAGAAACTTCAAGGTAAGTTAGGTGTGTGCGACGTCGTCTCGGTTGGAGGATTCTCTCGTCGCCTTAGCTGCCTTGACTGCTTTGAAACAGCTATCCGACCACGTATCAAACTCGATTTGATTTTGATTCGACATACAGTAGAAATGCATTTAATGCCTACTAACCCCTTCACCAAGTAGTCTTATAAAACACCCGTATATGAAACTATTGCAAGGTACAATACATTGTGTTGTTCATGAATTTTCAAATACATTTGTTACAGAATGTTGACTGTTTAACTTGAGTATTGTTTATTTCAATTTTTCTATAAATTGAAACACTATGTTAGAATGTATAGAATTATGTTTGAATGTATGTACGAAAGTCAAGAACTGATAAAAACGTCTGCTTCATAAATGGAATTTCATTTTGACGTCTCTTTTAATCTTTATTATTTTACATATATATATAATTGTTGAACGAGATAAGCCGATTATAACAACTTCAAAGTCAAAGTTTCATTAACCTTTTGTAACAAATGTGAATGCCAAGTTAAATGGTTTGCTCTTTTAATTTAATTTTCTGACAGTAGATTTAACAAAAATTTTAATACATTGCTCTAAATTCTAATATTTGTAAAATATATTTAATCTTTGTGCTAATGAATAGAATATTAATCAGTATAAATATCACTTTTTCAGCAAAGAACATAAACCGATGCTTGTCTTGAAGTTTAATGGACGAAGTAAGGATCACGATGCATCTGAGAAACCGGTGTGAAGGCGCTTAATCTGCATAATTCCAATCCTACAGCGCGAAGCGTTCGTTCGTTCGTCGGTGCATTTCTAGAAGCACACGTTCGCGTCTAGTAATACCCGTCTAACATCGGGAATTGTTTGCCGAATTGAAATAGTTTGAGTCGAGACATCCGCCCTTATCTACCATCAGCTGGATAGCTCCCTCCCTTCCTCTCTCTCTCTCTCTCTCTCTCTCTCTTTCTTTGGTCCATATCACGTGATCATGCAGGTAGAGAAATTGCGAGATAGAATTGAATTGGCAAGCGAAATTCTTCTACTTTAAATAGTGGACTTTAATTAACGAATACTCGTTAGGAAATAATGTAAACATTTTCTTGTATTTTAATTCTATTGATTAAAGTTCTAAAAAAAAAGATTATACGTGATCTGTAACTCGTTACATCTTTGAAGCACTTTCTTGAAAGTTTGTGATAACACTTAACGCAAATATTACATTACTTACTGAGGTTAAATAACCGATGGAAATCATACTTTAAGCGTCACTTATAAAACTGAAGAACGTTGAGGACCTTTAATTTGGTCTCTTCAAACTGGTCCAAGTTTCAGTCAAATTAGCCGCGTAATGAAATGAACGAATTAACTCTCGGTCGGTATCTCAACGAGCAATACTTAGGATAGAACGCAAAGAGAATTCTCGAATAAAGTCTGACAGCGTATCGTTTCACGAAATCCGTACCATTCTTAGTTCTTTACATTTCAGAAAGGTTCCAAGTCAGCTATTTTTCTATTATTAACAAATCTTAAACAAATATCATTATCTTCTCCAGAGTTTTTTTTTATTAAATAATCGATTGTATTTAAAAAAAGTTTTGTTTTGTTTTATTTTAGAAAGCTCTGCTTCTGAATTCTTGGTTTATCTAAATAACATGTTGCTTTTTTTGTAAGAGAAAAGAAAAGAAAAGACAAAAAAAAAATGGAAACTTGTTTCGAAGAAAAGAATAAATGTTCTACCTTCGTCCGGATACTCTTACGATTTTCTTTTTCATCTCTCTTTTTCTTTCTCTTCCTGTACTTCGTCGAAGATATAAACCTCGTTGATTCGTCGGACGTGTCTCCAGGTGCAACGGACAACGCACTAACCGGCAATGGAATTGGATTTCGCTGTCTTATGGTTCGTGCTGGAAGACTGTTTCCGTTTTCCTACATGGATCTCTCTCTCTCTCTCTCTCTCTCTCTCTCTTTCTATTTTTCCCTTTCTCTCTTTCTTACGTATCTTTTTCTTCCGTTCTATTATTTCCTTTCTTATTCCCTACTATCTGCCCCTATCTTTTATTCTTTTTACTCATTCATTTTATTTTCGAAAGACGACAAGGACGATCTAAGCCGTGCACGTAAATACAAGGGGTTGTTTTAGAAAAGAGGCGCTAGAAGTTTTGAAAGAAGAAGTTAGAGAAAGAGAAAGAGAGAAAGAGAGAGAGAGACAGAGAGAGAGAGAATTTGGGAAATACGAATAGTCTCAGAACATTTGTACAAATGTTGCAGTTCCATGTTGTTCTACGCAGTGAGCACGATTGTTGCATACCAGCTGCAGATGGTTGAAGTTCGTCCGGCCAATCTCTACTGAAGCGCAGGTAATTTTCTTGTCGGTAGATTATTTCGACACTTTTACAAGCAAACAACTTTGACAACAATTCTGAAAATGTTAATCCTTTCGGTAATGGCAATGGTAATTAAATGTGCGATTTTCCTTAACGATTGGATTATTTTAATGAAATGTCATCAATCATGATTTGTAAGTTTCATTTTCTATTTTTTTTCTCTAACTGTCGTAGATTTGCTTTTCTTTATTTCCTTACCGACCTTTCCCTTACAATTTTATTCATTATTCGTTCTATTTTCCGAATGCGTTGAAAGATTCTTATGGGAATAATTTCAAGAACATCTACGACACGAAAAATATATGTGTCTAGTTTACTCGCGAAAGGCGACAACGCTTTCGAATACGCCATTTCATCCCTAGAATCATATAAGTACATACGTATGGACGTGTGTAATCATGAAAATCGTCGAAATTATTACATACAGACACATTTCCGTTAAAATACTGCAACTTCTTATCCCTGTTTTATTTCACTTCTTTTCTTCCTTTTACTATCGTATTTTTCTACTTTTCTTTTCTCATTCCCCTTTCGTTTTCTTTTCATCCTTGTTCTATATACATTAAGCTCTTCGCCATATTCCGACCGTTCGCTTGCAAGTCGAATCGGTGAATATATTCTTTTGAAGTAATCAAGAAAAATCTTTATCTATATAAAGAACGACATTTTTTTTTTTTTT